CACTTGCAGAGATCCAAGGGGAGAGGAGGTAGCAACACAACTCCACCTAATGGAGGCTGACGGCGCCCCAGATTCAAACGTCCAAAAACACATAATTGAAACCACAAAATATCTCCATACTGCTCGTCCGTAGTGATCCAAGTGTCCTGAAGCCCCGACATAAAAAGTTGTTTGGAAAAACCTCATTTGAACTCTGTTTTTAGCCTCATTGTAGCCTGGGTTAGGGTTAGGGTGTGTGGGCGAGACCTTTGAAAGCACGTGAACACACATGAAGACGGTGCCCATGTCTCACGGTCTCAAGTGCACACACGTCTTCGGTGGCCTCTGGCTCATCTGTGGTGTCTCACTGTCTCTGTGTCTCACTGTCTCTGTGTCTCACTGTCTCTGTGTCTCACACTTCCACTGCTGTGGCTCAGAAACGTTGTCACTGGATTATAATGTGTTCATCACACTCATGTTGCATCTGGTAAAGATGGAGCTCATTAGATGTTTTTAATGAGAGGGTGTGTGTGCACAAAATAAATGTTTGGATTCACTCAAACAAACTCTCCTGTTTCCTCCTCCATCCTGCCTCAGATATTTTACCCAGACTCTTCATCACCTCCATTTTATGTCTCATTAACTGTACCTTCCCATTTGCTTCATCATGGCGCCTTCAGTTTCACCTGGTGTTTTGTTATCTGTTGAAGTGCAGCTGCTCTTAAAAAGATACTGATCATTCTGTAGAGAGCAGCTGAGCGAATGAGAGTGAGTTCAGTCACAGATGTGCAAAAATACATCAAAATGTATTTTAATACAAAATACCCCTCCAATAAATGTATCAAAATAAAATACACGTATTTTGTATTTTCAAACACAGAAAATAATTTTTCTTTTTTTCTCTTTAGCAGCAACCTGCAGCTCTACAGGTCACTCTGTCAGTCGGTTGGTCCACAAAGCTTTTTGTGAATAACTCAAGAAGTCCTTGACCAAAAATGCTCAAAATGTACATGCTGCAATTAGAGACCACGAGTAACGATGCCAGAAAGAACAACCATGATTCATCCATTAATGGCGTGATAGTTGCAAATTTGCACTTGTTTTCTCACAGTTTGGTGTAGCAGAGTATTCAGGTTTGGGCTATAGGCTACCCTAAAATATTATTTATTGATTCAGACAACTTTATTGATCCCACGTGAGGCAATCCATTTGTAGCATACTCACCCCAAGCATCAACCACAACAACATACAGTTTCCTATGTTATGCACAGTCCAGTAAAACAGACCACTGGGTCACTGAAGGGCCCAAGTTTGAAAAAACATAGAAGTAAAAAATATTGTCACATCCAATATTATAAGAATGTGTAGCCTATTATTTTTGATTCGTGGAGAAAGTATTTTGAGTATTTTAAATACAGAATTACTCCACTCAAAAGTATTTTGTTACAAATTACATTTGCTTTTTATCGGCCTTATCAAATACAGATTACAAAATACTCAAATGTAACTGAAATACGTATTTTAAATACAAGCAATAGAAATACTGCCCATCTCTGAGCACAGAGCTGTTGTTCACACTGACACTGTCTTTTGTTTCTATGAGCAGTAACCAGCTGCTGTAAGAGACTCATTTTGACAAAAAAAACAACAACAAAGACAAGTTTGATATTCAAACATTTATTTTTCCTCTGATCATAATGTATAAATAAAGATTTTATAATAAAGGTATAATTTGGCCCAAAGCAAGACAAGCCTCTATAAAGTACTAATAAATCCTCTGGCTGCAGAGAAGCCACACAGCTTATACCTGAATGTGTTTCTAGGGTTCAGTCACATCAGACACAAAACAGTCCACTGCTCATTTATCAAAAGACAAACCTGTGATTGGGACTGAAGGTAAACTCAGTTACAGTGTCATTAAACTCCTTCATGAAATGTTCAAACCTGCCGACAGCATGAGGTCATCTCCTGCTCTGCTCCTGATCGGGTCACATGTCACCCTGTGGTGGCTCTGTAAGAAGGCACTGTTCCAGTGAGGAAGGAGAAGCTAATAAACATGATTAATTACTGCTGATACAGTTCATGTGTTCATTATCTACACGAGACAGTGAGTGACGGATTCAGTCATCAACATGGTGTAACGTGTCCTCACAGCACAGGAGAGGGTTAATCCTACTGTAAAGATCCTGCTGTGGCTGATCACAGGCCGACTGCAGCAAACCGTCAGCTGCTGATGTTTAAAGGATAAGTCTGGAGATATTAAACACTTAACACCAGTTAATTAAACAGTGTGAGCCTGGACCTGGTAATACTCCAGCAGAGTAATGCTGTTTGATATGTGGCACCCAGCACAGGTCATTTTAATGTTAGCACACAGTATGATGGTTTATGGTGGGCGGGGCTTAGCAACTCTCAGGCATTAGCTGGGGCTACCTGACAAGTTCTGTTGGCTTGTTTTAGACAATGGAGGAAGATGATGTGAGTGGTGCGTTTAAAAATATTCAGTCCATGTGTGTGAGCGCACTGTGACACACACTGGACCGACAAAAAAGGCTGAAAAATGAAACAGGAGTTCAGTCTGATGATCAGGCCGGACACAATGAGATGAAAGTGCCATGTGCAGTCCTCTGATGGGACAATGCCGACATGCAAACAAGTGTGAAGTTAAAGGGATAGTGCACCCAAAAATGTAAATTCAGCCATTATCTACTCACCCATATGACGAGGGAGGCTCAGGTGAAGTTTTAGAGTCCTCACATCACTTGCAGAGATCCAAGGGGAGAGGAGGTAGCAACACAACTCCACCTAATGGAGGCTGACGGCGCCCCAGATTCAAACGTCCAAAAACACATCATTGAAACCACAAAATATTCCGCTCACGTGTGTGTGCTTGCATGAGACCGTGAGACATGGGCACCGTGTTCATATGTGTTCATGTGCTTTCCTGGTCTCGCATGCAAGCACACACAAGTGAGTGCGGTGCCCAGAGAGGCAGTCAGAGCTACAGGCTACAATGAGGCTAAAAACAGAGTTCAGATGAGGTTTTTCCAAACAACTTTTTATGTCGGGGCTTCAGGACACTTGGATCACTACGGACGAGCAGTATGGAGATATTTTGTGGTTTCAATTCTGTGTTTTTGGACATTTGAATCTGGGGCACCGTCAGCCTCCATTAGGTGGAGTTGTGTTGCTACCTCCTCTCCCCTTGGATCTCTGCAAGTGATGTGAGGACTGACTGTACTTCAAAATAAAGTGTGTTTTTTTTTTTACAAACTTGACACGTTGGCGAGTAACTTTCAGAATGGACCCGTGATCCACCAGCTGGGAGCTGCTGATTTAAAGAATGTTTAGGGCAAGTTCTGAATGTACATGTTTTTGGCTATTGTTCAAAATGTTAATAAAATCCCAAAACATGTCTGATATGACACAAAGTGCACTCCTTGTTTAACTTAAAGTCCAGTGCTGCGCTGTGTGACCATGGAAACATCACTAGTATCATGTGATAATCATGTATGCAGCTAGTTGGCGTTGGGAATGTCTAGGCCTAGTGTTTTATCTGCAAATGTTTGGGAGGTGCATGTTTAATAGTGTATGTCTTCTGAATGATAGATATAACACATGGCTCAAGATGGAGGCAGACTGGATGAAGCTCTGCACAAAAACCTTTGACACTGGTAACGAGGGGGAGGCAGCTCTGCAGCCAGCTGAAGGGAAGAAGCATCTCGACAGCCAAAAGGCTGCTGCGGACAGACTGCCAGCAGCAGCACATATTTCACGCCTGCCTCAGCTAGGCCACATCACGTTACTGCTCTGTATCTACTGCAGACACACAGGGACTCCACCAGTGTGTCCAGGCTACATTACAGCACCACTGCACACTATGACTGCTAACCTGTGTTAAAGTACTTACAGTCATGGAAATGAGGTCAAATATTATGAAAAATTCTCAAGATTTGTTGAAAAATATGTGACAACCATGAAACACACTGTTGGTTTGTTTGTTGACAGTAACACCAGACTTATCCTTTAAATGCTGCTGAAGCAGCTTCTGACTCTACTGTGTTAAAACCGTCACTTTGATTCCATCCGTTTGTTTTACTGCTCAGTTTGCTTGTTTTTTGTCATCACCTCCACCTGGTGTCCTGTGTGGCTGCACAGTACCTCCTCACACACACTCTGTCTGTGTGTGTGTGTGTGTGTGTGTGCTCAACATTAAGGGAGCTGTAAGTGACATTCAGAGCATATTTATGATCCGGCCCGACTCTACATGAAGCACCAGAGTTTCTATCAAAGCCTGACCTGAGCCTGAACCATGACTGATTTAAACCCACATTTCAACAGTTAAAAAAACATGAATATGTACAGTACAGGCCAAAAGTTTGGACACACCTGCTCATTCAATGCGTTTTCTTTATTTTCATGACTATTTACATTGTAGATTCTCACTGAAGGCATCAAAACTATGAATGAACACATGTGGAGTTATGTACTTAACAAAAAAAGGTGAAATAACTGAAAACATGTTTTATATTCTAGTTTCTTCAAAATAGCCACCCTTTGCTCTGATTACTGCTTTGAACACTCTTGGCATTCTCTCCATGAGCTTCAAGAGGTAGTCACCTGAAATGGTTTCCACTTCACAGGTGTGCCTTATCAGGGTTAATTAGTGGAATTTCTTGCTTTATCAATGGGGTTGGGACCATCAGTTGTGTTGTGCAGAAGTCAGGTTAATACACAGCCGACAGCCCTATTGGACAACTGTTAAAATTCATATTATGGCAAGAACCAATCAGCTAACTAAAGAAAAAAAAGTGGCCATCATTACTTTAAGAAATGAAGGTCAGTCAGTCCGGAAAATTGCAAAAACTTTAAATGTGTCCCCAAGTGGAGTCGCAAAAACCATCAAGCGCTACAACAAAACTGGCACACATGAGGACCGACCCAGGAAAGGAAGACCAAGAGTCACCTCTGCTTCTGAGGATAAGTTCATCCGAGTCACCAGCCTCAGAAATGGCAAGTTAACAGCAGCTCAGATCAGAGACCAGATGAATGCCACACAGAGTTCTAGCAGCAGACCCATCTCTAGAACAACTGTTAAGAGGAGACTGCGCCAATCAGGCCTTCATGGTCAAATAGCTGCTAGGAAACCACTGCTAAGGAGAGGCAACAAGCAGAAGAGATTTGTTTGGGCCAAGAAACACAAGGAATGGACATTAGACCAGTGGAAATCTGTGATTTGGTCTGATGAGTAAAAATTTGAGATCTTTGGTTCCAACCGCCGTGTCTTTGTGAGACGCAGAAAAGGTGAACGGATGGATTCCACATGCCTGGTTCCCACTGTGAAGCATGGAGGAGGAGGTGTGATGGTGTGGGGGTGTTTTGCTGGTGACACTGTTGGGGATTTATTCAAAATTGAAGGCACACTGAACCAGCATGGCTACCACAGCATCCTGCAGCGACATGCCATCCCATCCGGTTTGCGTTTAGATGGACGATCATTTATTTTTCAACAGGACAATGACCCCAAACACACCTCCAGGCTGTGTAAGGGCTATTTGACCAAGAAGGAGAGTGATGGAGTGCTGCGGCAGATGAACTGGCCTCCACAGTCACCGGACCTGAACCCAATCCAGATGGTTTGGGGTGAGCTGGACCGCAGAGTGAAGGCAAAGGGGCCAACAAGTGCTAAACACCTCTGGGAACTCCTTCAAGACTGTTGGAAAACCATTTCAGGTGACTACCTCTTGAAGCTCATGGAGAGAATGCCAAGAGTGTGCAAAGCAGTAATCAGAGCAAAGGGTGGCTATTTTGAAGAAACTAGAATATAAAACATGTTTTCAGTTATTTCACCTTTTTTTGTTAAGTACATAACTCCACATGTGTTCATTCATAGTTTTGATGCCTTCAGTGAGAATCTACAATGTAAATAGTCATGAAAATAAAGAAAACGCATTGAATGAGAAGGTGTGTCCAAACTTTTGGCCTGTACTGTATATCAAAGCATTTATAAGAATAAGATTCAAATATTTGTCAGAATGTGAAACCCTGTCCTCAAGTATCTGCAGGGTAGTGAAGTGTAATGGTCTAACTGAGGAGCCGTATATATGTGTTTTATTTTAATAGTAAAGTTTTTTGTTTTTCTACCTGTGAAGATATTTGTGCCTGGGCTGTTAAAACGAGGTACTGAGTGTTTATATTGGAAATCCTGAAATAAAGGTTTTAAAAAAGCATTTATCACTTGCTAAAGTGAACTGAAGTCTTGTCAGTGCAGTAAAGGTCGTGACACGCCGAGCCGACGGATGGGCCGTTGGTGAGCACCTGCCACCAGGTGTGTACCTGCTGTCAGTGCAGTGTGTCCCACACCGCTGTCCCTCGTCAGCCCCTTGCAGTAGTTCTGTTTGGCCGATTTAACATTTGATTCAACATGGTGAATCGGCGTCGGCGACAGCGGAGCCTGTCAGTGAATGAAACCGCTCTGATTTGCAGAGAGACCGACACAAACTTGTTCCATCAGGTCAGATGTTAATGTAAGATGGTAAAACGTTTCCTGATGGTTTGTGTAATTGTTCGCTGGTGCACAGAAAATGTATTTTGTTCTTCAAACATTGTTTGTGTTGTTAATGTGCTAACTGGCTAACTAGCATCAGGACCACCTTCCAGCGTCCCTCTCTGCATGAGGATCATAGACAACCACTGTCTGCTGGAGTGGAAATCTGTTGCTTTCACGCAGGTGCAGAGCATGCGTGCTGGAGTCTGAGCGGTGTGTTCATGTGCAATGTTTTTGGCCGAGACGCGGCAGTATCAGGTGACGCAGCAGCGGGCCTGAAGTCTCTGGTGTGTCTGGGCCTGAAGAGACATTTGTGAAATGACCTCTGACATGTGCCTTCTAACCTAAATCTAAATCTCAACATTGTCGTTAGTTAAAATGGGTTGATGAGAATATTGCATCACTATAAGGTCTGTGTGAAGAAAAGAGGGAGTTTGGTGCAAACCCAACTTGATCAAAGCCCGTGTACATTTGATAAAACTACAGCCTGACCCTGCTCAAAGCCGGCGAGTCGAGTGCGGCTCAGTCAGGTTCAAAATGAAATACTGACATTATGCTAATAAAGTTATTGATTAACTCTGTCTCCACCTCCCTGCTCTCACACTTGATGTAATTCAGTTGCCAAAAAAGAGACAAAACACAATAAACAAAGTTACTGATGAATTTAACTGAAAATGTCACTAAATTTAATCAGAGAAAACGTGGTCGCTGTGGTCGACTCCGACAGCACACTGCTGCATTCTGCTCAACAGGGACTCAATGCATAAAGCTGCTATTTTTAAATGTCCTGTCAAAAGAGTCTCTGCCTGCAGCCTGTCGTTTTTGTTCTGAAATGTTGATTCCACTGGATAATAAATGAGGTCCAGACGTCTCTCTGCAACACCAGTGAAGAAGAAATACAGCGAGAGCTTCACAGAGCCGTGAGCGATAACAGCGCCGCCTACATGTAAGAGTAAAGTCTGCAGCAGAAACACTAAACAGATCTACAGTTTGCATCACTCTCTGCTCAGGTACCAGCACTGCACTGTAGCTGTCTGCTGCTATATTAATGCTCTGAATGTCACACACAGCTCCTTTAAACATGTAGAAAGCATTCGGAGTGATTTCTTGGGTAACTTGGCTTGATACAGTGAGATACATCATATATGATAGATTGTGTGATACAGCAGCTTTTTGCAATAAATAGTACAATCACATTGTAGTTGTAAGTGCACATCTATTCATTTTGGTATGTAGGATCAAGTGTCCGACTTTGGCCACAGTGCACATCATTCATAGTGTTTGTTCTGACTTTATGGCGCCCCAGACAGCAGAGAGGTTGCAACATCTGGTGCGCCAAACAAAGCTGGTGCAAACATTAGAAAACAATCTGCAGACCTGTCTGGGCCAGAATGTGATGTGTGTTAGAGGTGGCACACGGTGAGAGCAGGTTCAGAGGCTGGTGATGTACTCTGCCCCGTTAGACGAGGCCTTGTCTTTGTCTCCCTCTGTGGGCACGCTGCTGTACTGGCAGCCGGACGCTAAGTCAACAGAGGGTTTGGCTGGTTCGGGCAGTGCAGATTGCTGACCCTGCTTCGACAGCTTCCTGTCCCGTTTATCCAGCCAGCAAAATGACACCATGAGGAACACGGCAGCAGAGGCAACTACGGCACTGCAGGCAAAGAAGACGTGGAAGTACTGACCTGTCCTGTCCACCAGGACTCCTGCAACAACATGAAAATCATCAGCTTTAATATTTCATCTCTGCTTCATGACATTTTATTTCACAGCTCAGACTTGTCTGTAAGTTCCTGGAAAGTAAGTGATATGAATTTATGAGAAGGATCCTGACGGAGCTGTAAAATTCAGCACTGATTATAAGAAAAATGGAGACGGTGTTAATTGGCACAATTCTGATAAATTAACTGGGACTAATTGCTGCAGTGGTGGCTCCCAAGAGGTCGCAATGCAGATCAGGAGACGATTAACCGGAGAGGAAAGCAAGAAAAAAACATGTCGCTCATTCCTTCAAACTCCTGACCTCTAACTTTTTATGAATTACTCAATACTTTGACTTCTACAAATTGTTCAAATAGAGCAAGAGGGGGAAAATCCTTTGCTCAGCTGAGCTTGTCACAGCTGGGAGAGACATGCGGCCCATGATGAGGGGTTACGTTCACTTAAAACAATATGGATCTATAGGTGGTTAAAATGTTGTTCTTCTGCCTGCTTCTCCAAACTTGTGGCGTGTTGATCAACATGTACTGCAGGTAACACACTGACTGTGAACAAGTACCTCACACAACCCCACTTCAAATCACTCTGAGGGGTCAGAGGCCAAAACCTTTGGGATCATCAACCTAGAGTCTGAGCGTCAGAGCGCTGCAGGTCAGCACAACATGCAAACAGGAAATGTGGCTGCAGGCAAATATATAATTCAACACCTGTGAGAAATAAAAGTTTATGATAGAAAACGATTAGCAGATATTTACTTTCACTCAAATGCAGAACATCAGAACTCAGCACACCTATAACACTGTTCTTCTCTATAATCAACATGAAATATATTTATTTATTTATTCAGCAGGAAGCCTTATAAAACACAACCTTTTTGTGAAGCTGTGTTGAACCTAACCCTTCTTTCAGTGGTATAACAGCAGTCCCAGTCAGATTCCCAGTGTGTGTGCACTGGTCCTGTTGTTGCTTGTATCTGTGGTTACGTCACGGCCCGGGTATAGTATCGGTCAGATAAACAGGGGAAGCATAACTGTCATTTGAGACGAGGCAGCCTGCCCTTTCCCTGCTCTGCTGCCACTACACTGAAACTCTGCTCCTGCAGAAGGAGGCACAGGCTTGTTTCTTTGTTCTGTGTGTGTGTGTGTGTGTGTGTGTGTGAGAGTGTGTGTGTGTGTGTGTGTGTAATTTACAACAAAAGCCTTGAGCAGGAGGAAACTTCCCGTATTTATGTCATTTACACAAACAGATGTTTTGAATCTACCTCAATCTGTTTTTTGGCCTTCTTCTGTCTGACCCACAGCAGGGACAGAAAACACAGGTACTGTGTTTCAAGGTCACTTGTGATGGTCTGACACACGCACACAGGACTTTAAGAGTGAATATTTATCAGCTGCGTGCTGGTTTAAATCATGTGATTTGGCAGAGGGCGTTGAAATCTTGAGAACTTTGACAAACTGAAAAAGCAGCTGCAGGTGTTCACATTCAGGTTCAGGCAGCAGCATTCAGTGCAGAGGACAATGACAGGTTCAAGTTTTAAAATGGAGCTGCCACGATTAATGGACCAACTGATGAGCTGTCAACTTTTATATTAATGGACAACTAATCTGATATAAGTGAATATCTTTGGGTTGCAGACAAACACAAGATGTTTAATGACATCATCTTGGGCTGAAACTTCAATCTGGCTGAAGCCTGTAAACCAGCTGAGACAACTTCTCTGTAGGTTATCTGATTATAGATATCATCACCATATCTTTGCTCTCCGTGTCTCACTGTGTACGTTACCTGCCAGTGGAGGCCCAATGAGCAGCGTGATGCTCTCCATGATAGCGAGCAGGCCCAGGGCTGAGGGGAAGCGGCTCATCTCCACGATATCCATGAGGACAGTGAACATCAGGGAACCCACCACGCTCATGGACAGCCCGTAGACCATCACATAGGTCAGCAGCACGGGGAAGGTGGGCCCGATGCAGCAGATACTGTTACTGAGCCCGTTGACCAGCAAAGCAGAGGCAAACACGTAAATGTGTCGCCCTTTGAACCACGGCATGCTGAGGATGATGCCGAACGGCGGCCGGACCACAATGTTAACCATACCCAAGATGGAGAGCAGCAGCGCGGCCCGGCTCTGCTCCATGTTGTTAGCCGTGGCGTAGGGCACCAGGTACACCAAGGGCACCACAAACCCGAGCATCATCCACGTGATGCCTATGGCGTACACACAGTATCGTGAGTTGTAGCAGAACTGATCGAAGGCCATGTGTTTGCTCAGGGACGCCACCACAAAGCTCCATATCCTTCTCATTCTGCCTTTTTCCTTCCTCACATCTTCCTCCTCAGGCAGAGGGGGTCCCTGATTCATCAGCGGCTGGCCTCGATGCTTGGGGGGCTGCAGGGGCCTCATCACCGCTCCGCACACGCAGCAGTTCAGCAGGATGGCCCCCAGAACGAGGAAACTTCCCCTCCAGCCCAGCTCTGTGTGGAGGTAGTTACCCAGGAAAGGCAGAGTGCACAGTCCCAGGGCTGTGCCTGTGGAGGACATCGCGTTGGCAAACGCTCGACGACGCACAAAGTAGTGACCGAGGATTGTCACCGCCGGCTGGAAGCTGAAGCAGAAACCAAGTCCTGTAACCACAGAAGAAGACATTCAGAGCAACTGCAAAGACCAAATTATGAAGTGAAGTTTGTCATTTTATTAGCAAGGAGATTAATCTTCCTCCACTGGAGGAGGTGACGCAACATCTCTAACCTGAGTTGAGTACACTTGCAAGATAAATGTGACACTTTCTAATGTCACAATGGAGGGACAACTACGCAGGTTGATTTTAGCGCTGCTCATCGTGGACTATATTGCTGTCATTGTTCATTTTAGTCAAAGCATACAGTTTGAAAACGAGGCGCGGCTCCAACTAGAAAACAATGTTTTGATGCATTGGATGTGCTGAATGTGCATATTAAGGCAGTACAGGAGGAGGTGCACATTAATAATCCTCCAGGACTGTAACATGCTCATGTTTAACCCAAACAATGTGTCATGTGACTGCAGTTGCTTCACATCCAGGTCGCAACACCTTCTCACCACAAACCAACCGCACCAGAGTTCCTTTGGAACCGGACTGAGACCACCTCTTCAAGAAGGTCTCGGTCCGGTTGTTTTGGTGTGTTCACACCTGCACAAACGAACCACACTGAGGGGGCAAACAAACTGGAGTTTAACTGAACCGAACCAAACAGGGCAGGTGTGAACGCAGCCTCAGATTCACATGAAACGGCTCTTCTGATAAATTTCTGAGAATCTGGAATCCATTTATAGATTATATATAAAAGCTCAACTCTGAACCTTCACTTTACTGACAATAACTCCACGGTGAGTAAGTCACTTATTGTTCTACATCTTCATGTAGCTGATCATGATAGGATCTATGTCATGCAGCTGCCTGTTCCTTTAAAGGCCCTGTATATCTGTGTCTGTGCACATGTGTACATGACTATGTGTTCTTTATTTCACTGTTATATTGTTAAAAAATAAAAATATGTACCACGAGTATCAAATAAAACAGCTGACAGTAGGAGATGGGGAAGAGTCGCAGCACAACGAAGGACACATGGCTGTTAATAGTTGAATTAATCTTCTTAAATGCAAAATATGGACACATACAGTATGTTGAGACTAAAAGAAGAACAATGAAAGGAAATGGGGAAATGGACTTTGTACCAACTCAAAATGGCAGCACTGGAGTGGAGCCAGCCTATAAAGATCTAACTGACAAAACGTCTAATTCCTGTTTGCACGTGGAGCATCACTAGCTTTTACTGGGAGTCATGGTTTTGCTGGCTGGGTCTCCACTAAGTCCAGAGGAGTTTATCTCCAGCTGCTCTCTGACTGCTGTTTGCTCTTTGCTGTTGTTCAGGTAACGTAGTGTTGTTGGTCAGGTGTCAGCTGGAGCCATAAATCAGATGAATGTTTGCTGACCTGTAATAACCCCAGCTGTGATGTAGAGCTGTACGATGGACTGGGTGAACGAGCTGGCAGCCATTCCGAGCCCACTCAGGATGCCGCCCAACATGACCGTCGCCCGGCAACCGAGTCTCTCCACCAGCACGCTGCAGAAGGGACCTGTGGATCAAATGTAATGCTCTTAGTTTAATGCATACTGGGCACAGGCTGACACGGGGGGGCGTCAGCTGGTCTCAGATGACTTGTGTTGAGCTGAAGGAAAGCACTGGAAGCACGACTGGACGTATGTTTGCTCTCACGCCTTCTCTGTGTGTGCACATGGCGTGTAACTGAAGTGACACATACATCAATGAACATTTGCTGCGTTTCACGGTTCAATCATCGTTTCTGTCGGTCGTTATCTTGACATTTTGCCTGAAGAGGAAGTTCCACATTATATGTTCTGAGGCTTAAATACGGCGGGGTATATTGGTTAAAGGTCACCGACGGGGGTGGTAAATTCAACACACGCCTTTGTTGTTAGGCAGCAGGGCTGCGAGGTGCTGATGGGGATAATACCTGGCTGGTGTTACTCAAACTTCTCCTGAAGTAGCCTCAAAGATGAAACACTGAAAATATCACAATTAATACTTGTTTTAAGTCCCGTCTGTGCTTCATCTCATATGATAGTTTCAATTTCTGCTGAATCATTTCTTCAATCCACAGACCTCACATGAGCGGATCAAACTTGGTTCAGCTCACTGAAGATTAACCTGAGGCTCTTGTCACATCTCTGTAAACTCAGGACAGAAACGTCTCAGATCAAAGCATTCCTCTTTGTAAAAGCCGTGAGAACTTTGTGCCATTATCACACTCACTCTTTCTGGCTCTTTACACTCGTCAACTGGTGAGAACAAAGACGTCCCAGACACATGCTTCAGATGGAACAGCTGCTGATGGGAGTGTTTCTGAAGGGAGGTTCTTGTCTTGGTCAGCCAGATAATAAAAAGTAAAACCTTGCTGGCCAATGTAGCTCATCCCAGGTAATCACCAAAGTGATTTCATTACTAAGAAGAGTGAGCGTGGCTAAAGAGCAACAGCAGCTACAGCACAAAACCATCGTTCATCCATTGTTGTCCAGAAACAACCGTCCAGCTGCTGTAGATAATCCCACTGTTTGCTGAAGCTTTAATTAAAACTAGAGTGTCCAGCTGTCAAAGGAAATTACTGAGACTTTAATAAAAATGAGACCTCTAAATGAAGCCTATAAATCCTTTGCTGGCTAATGTGGTGCATCCTGGGTATTTACCAAAGTGACTTTATAACGAAGAGGAGTGAGCGTACACAACAGACTGTGTCTCCTAAAAGCTAAAGAGCAACAATATTTATAGGATGAAAACAGTGTTCAGTCATTGTTGCTGCACAGAGACTGTCCTGCTGCTGTAAATAATCATTAGAGCACTGAATGTGGATTCATCCGCCGCTGAAAATAGTCCCCATCAAACACAGTATTTCCTGCCGTTTGAGTATCTGTGACACCAAGAATTAAAAAGGGGGTCCAACCTGGTACCAGCAAGGTGTACCTAATAAAGTGGCCGGTAATGTAGGTCTAAATTAATGTAAACAGAAGCTGGATGTGGGGAGAGACTCAGAGATCTAAAATCTGTTTACATGTGATACAACATTTCTGATCTGTGCCAAAAAACTGCTCTCAGCTGTGTTTACAAAAATAAGGACTGTCGGAGGAGTTTAAGCATCGTGACGGCACGGAGCAGTACTGATTGTTTTTGGTGTAACCAGAGAACTTCTTCTTCTTCTGCAGAGGTAATTAGTGAGCACCTCCCACAGCAAACTACACTTGATACTGTGGAACAGAAACTTCCTCCTCTTATCTTTTAGAAATAACGTTCTAAGACACGACGGCGCTCAAATGAAAAAATGATGATAATTACTGTTTTTGACAGTTGTTGCTGATAAACTCTGATAACAAGGAGACATTTTTTTGTTCTGCCAGGAAACTTGTGTTACTTGTATTCATCCAAACATGTTTGAAAAACCTGTTTTTAATCCTTTTTAACCAGAAAGTCTGCTGGACTGAGTTACACATCCAGACAAACCACATTCCTTCCTGTGACTGCGTCCGAGGGTTGGACATCCTGTGAAACTGCCCTCACCGTGCCAAACTCCTGCCTGCTTTTCACTTCTGATGCAGCAGCATGAAATCATGCTCGTCACAAAATCTACATTCTGCTCCACACACACACAGAAAGATGCACCTTGATCTTCTATACTGCCTTTATTTGACCTCTCACAGCCAACAGCACTTCCTGTTTCATGCATGTTGCATAACACGTCATTGAGGAAGGATGTTGACATTAGTGACTGGAGAGATAGCGCCGTGGTGCACCACACCGAGGACTTGTGCACTGACAAAAGGATAAAGTAGACTTTGCACAACAATCAGCAGACTCTGACATTTGTGTCAATAACACACAAGGTTTTGATATTACAGTTCCTGTCGTCAGCACATTTTCTGCATTATAACCACTCAGTGTTTTTACAGCTCTCCACTTCAAATGTAAAAAAGTTGGGATGCTGTCTTAAAGGTAAATAAAAACACAATGCAATGTTTTGCAAATTCCTTTTGACCTGTATTCAATTAAATACAGTACAAAGACAAAATATCCATCCATCCATCCATCCATCCATCCATCCACCCATTTTCATCCGCTTATCCGGGGCCGGGTCACAGGGCAGCAGGCCAAGCAAAGCACCCCAGACGTCCCTCTCCCCAGCAACACTTTCCAGCTCCTCCTGGAGGACCCCGAGGTGTTCCCAGGCCAGATGAGATCTATAATCCCTCCAGTGTGTTCTGGGTCTGCCCCGGGGCCTCCTACCAGCTGGACCAGGAGGATCCTGATCAGATGTTGAACCACCTCAACATGAAGGAGCAGCGGCTCTACTCCGAGCTCCCTCCAGATGTCTGACTCCTCCTCCTCATCATCTCTAAGGCTGAGCCCAGACACCCTACAGAGGAAACTCATTTCAGCCGCTTGTATCTGTGACCTCATTCTTTCAGTCACTACCCAGAGCTAAAAATTGAAATTGAAATTGAAAGTTTTGCCTACTGGCTCAGCTCCCTCTTCACCACGACAGACCAGTGCAGCACCCGCATCACTGCAGAAGCCGCACCGACCCGCCGATCCATCTCACGCTCCATTCTACCCTCATTGTGAACAAGACCCTGAGATACTTGAACTCCCTCGCTTGAGGCAGTAACTCTCCTCCAACCTGGAGAGGGCAAACCACCGGTTTCCGACAGAGGACCATGACCTCAGACTTGGAGGTGCTGACTCTCATCCCAACTGCTTCACACTCGGCTGCAGAACGCTCCAGGTCATGCTGGAGGTCACGGTTCATGTCTTCATAGATGGTGTTTAATGTGAGCTGAGGTCGTGGCCACAGTCACATAGTCTCACTGTGAATGGGTCATTTATGGATTGTAACGTATGGTCAATGGGCTGCACCTGTAGAGCACCTTTCAGGTCTTTCCACAGCTCAAGGGACTTTTACACCACGAGTCACACACACATTCACACACACATTCACACACTGGTGGCAAAGGCTCTGTAACCATTCACACACTCTCACACACTCTCACACAGCCGTCAGGAGCAGTTTGGGGTTCAGTTTCTTCCCGAGGGTACTTTGATATGCAGACTGGAGGAGCTGGGGCATGTTTACCACTGTGTTACATCACCTGATCTTTTAACAACACTCAGTACTTCAGGTCAAAAAGGATTTGCAAATCATTACATTTTACATTCAACACAGCGTCCCAACTTTTTAGGAATCAGGGATGTAGTAGTTTCCATCGTTAGCGGTGGAGTCTGCCATTTAAATTCATTTTGTCTCAGTGACATCAGCCTCTGTGTTTACTGTGTACAGTCGTGTCACTGCTGTGTCAAGTTACTACTGAAACATCTGTGTTGCTGCTGCTGGTTTATATTTAGCCGGTGCAACAAAGGAGCGCTCTCACATGAAACACACGCATCCATCACTGAGATCAGAGCTAAAGGTCAAATATGCATCTAGTATCTGACAAGATAGTAACTTCTGCATGTTTTTGACAGCGTGTAAGTCTTAGATACTGCAGATACTAATGGTGCACAAAGGTGTTGCCACCATTTAAACAACAAAAGCTGAAACTTAAAGACTTTAAGAACCTAATTGTCATTTTTCTGCGTGAAACAACATCTAAAATTGAGCTGAATTAAGAAAATCTGACACATAAAACTCTACTGAAAGCTCCACAGACTGAAACATTAATATTTTATGTGGCTACCGGTGATAAAAAACAAACCAGGTAAGGCTGCAGCAGAAAATCACCTGAGTGTGTTGATTGAAGCAAAGCGTGGGTTTTATTGCTTATGTGTCCAACTTTATAAAGTGATGCATGTGCCGTTTCATCTCTTACAAGTTTAGATAGCATCACTTTAACGTCTGGATAATTATTTCTATGTAGCTCTGAGGTCTTGATGTGCAAAGTGCTGAAGTCCCTCTCAGCTGTGGGTAATGACCCAGCCTCAGTTTCTCATGGTATAATCTTCTTTGAATCAACATCAGCACAGCGAGACAGTTAGACACACGCACAAATTCTCCCTCCTGAGTTTCACATGTTCCCAGTGTCACAGCAGCAGGTAGGAACTGCAGTTACCTCGAGGCAACTAAAGGGCAACACGTCTTATAATATTAATACTACTATAGGTGATGATTAAAGAACAGCTGCAGTGTAGAGTGGTAATGATAAAACTCCATTTTAAAAGTTAAAACAAAAAGTTTTAATATCATTCTGTAGCTTCACAGTAGGGTTTCCTTATTTATTCAAAATCTGTAAAGGAATCGCGTACGGATACACTTTGGTTTTATATTCTATAGTTTATATCTCTAATTATCTAGTGTCTACAGACTGATATGAATACCAGTACAATTAACATTTTGAGTTCCACAACATTCTTGTTTCAGCGTGTTATGTATCCGTACAGGTGTTCGCGATTCATTGTTCTTAAAATCAGCTGGTTGTCTGGTTGAACGGGGAACACCGTCTAAATTAAGAATTGTAATATGTTAAGGGCGCCCTGTGGCTCAGTGGGAAGAGTGGGCGTCCCATGTACAAAGGCTTTATCCTTGCTGGAAGAACTGTGGTTTTGATCCCAGCCCATGGCCCCCTGCTGCATGTTTTACATTTGGAAGAGAGATGTTCACTTTTAGTTTTGGACAGTCTCAGACGCCAGGGATAACATGTATGAGTTTTGAAAATGGGTGTATTTTCCCTTTAAAAAGACAAACATACACTGATTGTGAGGAACGTAACATTTACTGGGAAGAAGCTTTCTTGAGTTAAGGGAAGACTCATGGGTACCTAAAGAACGTTTAGGTTTTCAATCAGACATCTTGAGGTGAGAGGTCAACAGACATGCCAGTTGTTCCCTCGCCAAAGTTTCTCCTAACTTTAGAGCGTCACTTCGCCCCCTTCCCAACAAGCTATGCCAACATGGTTGGTACCAATGTGTACCTTCAGTTGTCAAGCTCACAAGATACTTCTGTGCTAGCTTAAAAAAATAGCGCACTGCAACCTCTTAGATGCAGTAATGTTGGCGTTTGATTATCTTTAACAGGAGGGCCAGCGGAGGGGACAACAACTGTATCAGGGCAGCGATGGCACACCTGGCCCACCCTTGGGGTCACCACTTTACCCCCTAATTGGCACAGACGTTACGCAGTGTGCTGCTGTGGATTAGTTTTGATCCAGCAGTTACACAATAACATAAACCAACCAATCAAGGCAGCAGTAGTTCACCGAATGCTGTGTTCTGTGAGGTAAAATCACTGTTGTCAGTGGAGTCTGATGGCTTTGAACAGAGCCATATAACAGCTTCAGTTCCCCCTCAGAGACGGCGCTCTGATGGCAAAATGCTACACTGATAAAGAATAAGTACCTCAAACAATCCCACCTCAAAGAACCCAGACTAACTCTTTCCATTCATCATCAGTGCTCTAACCTTCGTCAGTGGTTTTTGGTAACGAGGGAGTGGGTGTTTACTTTTGAAAACCCGTCAAAGTATGCAGATGGACCCATCCTTTAAAGTTACACATTAACTGCATGGAGAACTAACTAAACAGAGGACAGTTTATTTCCTGGCCTGCATACTTTACCTCCGGCATGAAGCACTGACGTCATGATGGAGGGCACCCAGGAGGTCTCGCTGTTGGAGGCGTGGAACTCATTCTGCAGGTCGGTGTAGAAGATTCCCACACAGGACGGGAACGCCAGGGTCAGAGCCAAGACCATGATGGTGGCAGCCAGCACTACCCACCCCCAACCGCCATCTGGAGCTGTGACTGCTCCCGTTACACCCACAGAGTCTCTGCATTCACCTCCCTGCCCCCCCTCCTCAGATTCACAGTCGTTGGCCTCTTGGACTTTCTCCATGCCGTTGGCCAGCTCGAGGTCAGCGGAGGCCTCTGGGCGGAGGCAGCGGTCACTCGTCGCTCTGATTCCATTTCTCTGAGTCATTTTCTGCTCTGCAGTTCAGGAGAGGCTCCTGTGTTTGCTCTGCAGGGTGTGGAATTACTTCTGCTGTCCATGTCACTGTAACTGCTGCAACCATCAGGGACACCTGGAACAGCAAAGCAAATAAGGTGTGTAATAATGTGTGTAATGTGCAGAGCAGCTGGAGCGGCTTTTATGGTCGGCAGTGTCTGTCTGTCTGTCTGTCTGTCTGTCTGTCTGTCTGTCCACACTGACATGTCCCAACAACTACTGGATGGACTCCAGTGAAATTTGGTACAAACATTCACGTCACCCTCAAGATGAATTAAAATAACTTTGATGGTCCTCTGACTCTTCCTCTTCCTCTTGCATCATCATCCTCATCAGGTCAACATTTAAACTTGTCCAGTACTTGTTTATTAGGACTGAATCAGGGATCAAAGTTACTGGATATATTGACGATATCCAATATATAACAAATTCTTTGGCCGATACTGATATCGATATATTCACATTTCCCACCTAATTTCAGTGATCATCAAGTCTCTTCTGTAGTGGAATTAACATCATATTATTTGTGCATACTCTTATCATGACGGCCCACCATACATTACCTTTTGTCAACTGTAAATTATGTCCCCACAGGTAAACTTTGCCAACATCTATTTTATCTAATAAGATAAAGTTTTCAACCCATTCATCTCACTCACCATTTTTTTTGCAGCAAAATGTATCTAGTGGACTGAAAAAGCAACTGATTATATTAATTTAGTTGGCTACCTGAAGTTAAATTTGTATTTGTAATATTAACAATTAATAAAACAACTAGTTCGTACCCACTGAGTGCACAGTTGCCCACGTACAGTTTCACATGGTGTGTGTTTGGGATACAGATCATAGGAAATTGCAGATTAAATAGTCAACTGAACCCATTAAGAAGAGCAATGTATTCAGACAGAGTGTTTGTGAATCTGATAGTACGATTGCTTTATTGAAAGTACAGTAGTACCATTGCCAATAGTGGGATAGTTAGTGGGCTAAAACTGTACATTAGTAGTTGAGGTAGCACATTGAAAGGCAGATAGTTAAAGTCATTGCCTTATAGAAGCTCAGTTTTAGTAAGTTTTCCAACTTTTGCCAAGAGGGAACTTTAGATATTGGTCCCTAGATTATGTTCACCCAGTTTCATGCAGATCGCTCAAACTTCCTAGGAAGAGATCCATTTGAAGTGTTTTTCAAAACATTCAAAATGGCAGAAAATCTATATAAGCGGAAGTTATGGGTTCTTGAGGCAAATGTGTTCCTCATGAGGAGAGGCATCTCTGTGCAAAGTTTCATGTCTCTACCACATACGGGGCATGAGATATGCCCATTCAAAGTTTGACATTTCAATGGGTTGCTATAGCGCCCCCCTTTGGCCAATTGATGTAATATTGCTTCATTGGCATCCTCCCATGACCCTCTACCACTGTGCCAAATTTCACATGGATTGACCAAGTCAGTGAGGAGAAAAACGTGGAACACACACACACACACACACACACACACACACACACACACATACACACAGAGTTTTCCTCATTATATAGTAAGATCAATACCTGCACACAAAAATATCGTGATACTAGGCTGTATCGACCCCCCACCCCCACATGTTAGCATCTTACACAAGGCCTTACAGAGCCCATAGCGGGTCTGTAGACTCTTGTATGAAGCAGTAATTTGATTATTCAAAGCAGTTTTGTTTCCTGGTTGTTTCTTCAGCTGCTAAAAGCTCCACGACTGTAAGTTCACCTCTGTCTGCTGTGTGGTCGTGACTCGTGGGGAGGAAGCAGACGACAGAATGGTGAGAGTCAACCAAAGCTGTTACATCATGTGATCTGATGTTAATATAAAACTATTGATCAGAGCAGTTTTAAGGTTTCCAACAGAGGCATGTTGTAGAGGTTTGGAGTGTGACGACACAATCTTTCTTTCAGCCTACACACACACACACACACACACACAAGCGTATGGAGCAGAGCAGTAACAATAGTGAATGAACAGTGACTGCCTGTCCTTTAAAACAAAGCAATAAAATACAGTAGGTAACTGTCGCAGGGAGACCGAGGGGGAATCATGTACTCAAATCTTGTGGTTGCCATGTTGTGTACGAGCTGGAGGCCATCAGTTCATACTGACACAGTCCAGGTTACAGTCATCTAAACACAGTCATCCTAAAATGAGAGATTTCTAGTCTCCCGTGAGGAACGCAAACCCCACGAGGCCTGCAGACACATTTCCTGTAGATACTTCAGGTGCTTCCGTTTTATCAGCATTTCAAATCAGAAAATCTGCAGGTCAGACTGTTAGTGAGTTAACAAAGGAGCGGCCTGCTGGATAAATATGGCTGTGTGGCTGCAGAGAGAGTCAGGCTACCATGAGACCAACGTGCACTTGTGAAAACCCTCGTGAATGAATGGAACTCTGTGCAAATGTTCCAGCAGGATTTCCCCCCAAAGGCTCTTAATATCATTCCCAGATGTACCAGCGACCGAGCAGAGCAACTCTTGGCTGATGTCTCCGTACTGAGACACTTTGCACTCTGTGGCCAAATGTATGTGGACACCTGAGCATGACACACACATGTTGTTACGGTATTTTACAAAAGCTTTCACAACAAAAAAATTTCCATGCTCAGTGATAGTGAATACATGTTTTGTTATTTTAATAACTGAATTTATTTTGGTTTAATGTTAAATGCAACACAGTGTTACTGTAACTTACAAACTAAAATACAGTATATGTACAGTGGCTGCAAAGGTTTGGGCATCTCTGGTCAAAATTTCATTTACAGTGAATATTTAATTTAGTAGAAGATGAACTGAACTCCAAAAGGCATGAGGTTAATAACCAAACATGTTTGTTGACATTGTAAGCAAGATCAGTGTTTTTATTTGTTTTTGTTTTGCACAATGTTAGAGTAAAAAAAAAAGGAACGGAGCACCATGAAAAAGTTTGGGCACCCCGAGACATTTGAGCTCTCAGACAACAGACCTTAATGAGCTTGTTAGGGCTCTGGCTTGTTCACAGTCATCGTTAGCAAAGGTCAGGTGATGCTAATTTCAAAGCTTTATAAATACTCTGACTCCTGAAAGCTTGTCCCAACAATCAGCAGCCATGGGCTCCTCTAAACAGCTGCCTAGCACTCTGAAGACTAAAAGACCTGATGAAGACTATAAGAAGATAGCAAAGTGTTTTCAGGGAGCTGTTTCCTCAGTTGGTCATGTCAGTAAGAAATGGCAGGTGTAAGTGTAGAGGTCAAGCTGAGGTCTGGAAGACCAAGAAAACTTTGTGAGAGAGCTGCTCGTAGGATTGTTAGAAAGACAAATCAAAACCCTGTTTGACTGCAAAAGACCTGCAGGAAGGTTTATCAGACTCTGGAGTGGTGGTGCACTGTTCTACTGTGCAGACACACCTGGACAGGTATGACCTTCATGGAAGAGTCATCAGAAGAAAACCTTTCCTGTGTCCTCACCACTAAATCCAGCGTCAAAAGTTTGCAAAAGAACATCTGAACAAGCCTGATGCTTTTTTGGAAACAAGTCCTGTGGACTGATGAAGGTAAACAGAACTTTCTGGACACAATGAGCAAAGGTATGTTTGGAGAACAACTGTTAAACACGAGGGTGGATGGATGATGCTTTGGGCTTGTGTTGCAGCCAGTGGCACGGGGAACATTTCACAGGTAGAGCAAAGAATGGATTCAGTTAAAGTCCAGCAAATTCTGAGAACATCACAACATCTGTAAAAAAGCTGGACCTCAAAGAGCAGAGCAGGAAGACGACCCAAGACTCTCACAGAGCTAGAAGCCTTTTGCAGGAAGACTGGGTGAAAATCTTCCAAACAAGAACTGAGAGAGTCTGAGCTGGATACACAAAGTGTTTAGAAGCTGTGATACCTGCCAAAGGGGGCGCTACTGAGTCCTGACCATGCAGAGTAGAACTTTTGCTTCAGGCCCTTTAAAGACTGAAATTTATAAGTGATCTTGCTTAAAATATTTAAGAAATGTTTCACCCTGCGGAGGAAACTCATATCGGCCGCTTGTACTCGCGATCTCGTTCTTTCAGTCACTACACAGGGCTCGTGACCATAGGTGGGGGCTGGAATGTAGATCGACCGGTAAATCGAGAGCTTTGCTTTCTGGCTAAGCTCCCTTTTCACCACAACAGACCGGTTAAGCGTCCGCATCACTGCTGACGCCGCCCCAATCCGCCTGTCAATCTCCCGCTCCATCCTACCCTCACTCGTGAACAAGATCCCGAGATACTTAAACTCCTCCACCTGAGGCAGGAACTCCCCCCCGACCTGGAGTGGGCAATCCACCCTTTTCCGGCTGAGGACCATGGCCTCAGACTTGGAGGTGCTGATTCTCATCCCAGCCGTTTCACACTCGGCTGCGAACCGTCCCAGCGAGAGCTGGAGGTCACTGTTCGATGGAGCTAGGAGGACCACATCATCAACAAAAAGCAGGGACAAGATACTCCAGTCACAGAACCTGACACCCTCCACCACTCGGCTGCGCCTAGAAATTCTGTCCATGAAGGTTATGAACAGAACCGGTGACAAAGGGCAGCCCCGGCGGAGTCCAACCCTCACACGACCCGAACCAGACTCACGCTCCTTCGTTACAGGGACTGGATGGCCCTTAGCAAAGGGCCACCAACCTCATACTCCGGGAGCACCCCCCACAGGATGCCCCTGGGGACACGGTCGTAAGCCTTCTCCAAATCCACAAAACACATGTGGACTGGGTGAACTATATTGAGAGTATTTTAACTGTTGTATCAAACAGCCCACTCCAATGGGGAAGTGTCAACTGCTTCAGCTCCACATCTCTGAGGAGAGCGACACACCAGCTTCATTTCGCCATCAGAACTTACTGTCTGACAGAAAGGTGAGGCAGTGAAATACTCTCAATATCACACACGCTCACACTGATATTGATTGTTTAGGTGGCTGACATACATCTTAACATTGACCCC